CATCTGCCATGCTGTCCACAATTTCCTTGACTCAATGTTTGTGAGTCTGTGACCCACATTGACATCAACATTGTAGCTGAATCAGTGCAGTTCCTATTCGTGGAAGTTCTTTGTCTACCAATTTCATGCCATATCTGATAAAATATAAGCCATAGGATGCATGTAATTTTATTGAGGATATTGATAGCCTTTCTTGTTCTTAATTCAATATTCAATAATGGTAATATAATTCAATACATGTGACTTCAGATTGAATATGATCACTGATCAGAAAATCATCAATCATCTCAATATCAATCTGATCTGTTTCAGTTTAAAATCCTCCTAAAGTGATTCATACAAAGTTATTCATAAGTTGTTAAGATTTTTAAAGTTGTCTTTAATGCCAGTAGTAATGTCTAGTTCTTGATTTATATTCCAATCAAGATTCAGAATTTGAGTCATCTTGAAAGATTGAAAGAGTAAAAAAAAAAACATCTAGGATAAAATATTCATTGTCATAAATGATACAAAGTTAACTTCCCTTATTAGTTTAGAGAAGTGCAGGAAAGCTAGGATAAATAAGAAGCTGACAGGTGTCTGGACTTGAGCAAAAAGTGGAAGATCTAAGATCAATGCATACATCACATTCATTTCACTCTTTTTTCCAGGTTCAGCTACAATATCAGTTTGGAATACCTGTAAAAAACTGCTCTGCCATACCTATAAAAGACTGCTCTAAAACGTTTACCAGTCTATTGGCTATCACAATGACTGAAGAAAAGAAGAAACCTCAGTCATATGCTGGTATACCAGAGGCTCAGTTCCTGGAGGACGTTGACAGCTTCATGAAGGAACAGGGCCCAGAAGTCACAGTGGAGATGATCCTCAAGAGACTTGAGGAGCAGCACCAGAAATACAAGTTTATGGAACTGAACCTTATGTCGAGGCGGAAGCGGCTGAAGTCACAAATCCCTGACATTGAGGGCTCACTGAAGATTGTCAAACAAATGCAGGAGCAGAAGGGCAAGGAGGGTGTCATTTCGTCTCACTTCCTGCTCTCGGACCAGGTATACGCCAAGGCCGAGTCGACGCCGTCGGACACCGTCTGCCTCTGGCTGGGCGCCAACGTGATGCTCGAGTACTCGCTCGACGACGCCAACAAACTGCTCTCCGACAACCTCAGCAACGCCTCCAAGAACTTGGGCCAGGTGGAGCACGACCTGGACTTCCTGCGTGACCAGTTCACCACCGTCGAGGTGAACATGGCGCGCGTCTATAACTGGGACGTGAAGAAGCGACAGGCGGCCAAGGCGGCCGGCGCGACGCTATGATGAGGGTGGGGTGCGATGTTGAACTGCGCGATCCGGTGATTCACTGTTGTTCATTTGCTTTGCGTTCACTCAACCTCTGGCGACATTTGCCTTGTGCAGTGATATGTGCAAGTCTTTGACTAGTTTATTAACACAGATGTCTGCCATTGCCTTACAGATAGGTATTTGCTTTTCTCGGCGGTTTCGAATATGTGCAACCTATGTGTTAAAATAAATAAATGCTGCTAATGATTATATTAAATCGTACGTTTTGAAGTTAGGTATTGTGCAGATCTTGGAAAAAGGATAATGTAATCTGTGATGAAGTGATCTCAGATTATTGTAGCAAATTCGATGCCGTTATTACCTATTCACTCGTTATCACATCAGCTCAGTGTGTGTTCACTTCAGACGCAACACTCGCCCGTGCCTTGTATTTTGGCGTATCACAGACATTTTACTACCCCTAGCAGTAGTTGGCGTCCTGTGTGTTGGCGAGGATCCAGTCGAGGGCGGCTGCCACCCTGGCGTACACGCCGGCCGAGAGGGGTCGGGCGCAGCCGAGTCCCCAGCTGGTGACCCCGAGCAGCGCCTGGCGGCCCTCGTCGTCCACACTGACCGTCAGCGGGCCGCCAGAGTCGCCGTGGCACGTGTCGCGGCCGCCGGACCACACGCTGCCGGCCGCGCACACCATGCTGCCCGTGACGGGCACCGGACTGTTGAGGATGCGACAGAGCGCCGCCGGCACCTGCTGCAGGGTGACGCTGTGCGGCCGGTCGGTGCGCGGACCGCCCACCCGCTGGGCGCCCCAGCCGGCGGCCGTGACTGTGGCGCGTCGGTAGCGGCCCCGCTCGGGCAGACAGACGGGCGCGATGCGGTTGTCTGGCGTCGGCAGGCTGAGCGGTGTCTCCAGGCGCACCAGGCCCACGTCGAAGCCGAGGAAGAGCGGCCCGAACAGCGGGTGCCGGCGCACCGCGGACGCGTTCAGGCGCACGTCGCCCCCCGAGTCGCGGCGCAGCTCGTGCTTGCCAAGGACGACCTGCAGGTGGCGCGGCCGCCGGCGGAGCAGGCAGTGCGCTGCCGTCAGCACGTAGCGGTCGTTGATGAGTGAGCCGCCGCAGAAGGGCCGGTGGTGGCCGGGCTCGACGAGCGCCGCCAGCCACGGGAACTGGTGGCGGCCCGCCGGGGCGCCTCCGGCCACCCGCGTGGTCGGCACGGGGTTAGTGCGGCCGCAGCACCGGCTCTTGGTGGCCAGACCTGGGATCGGTCGACCCCAGCGTGTGTGCTCCGCCGACGTCCGATGGCGTAGGAAGTGCGGCTTTGGCCACAGCGGTGACTCGCGCAGCTTCACCGTCAGCGAGTACGCTGATGCGGTATTCCTGTGATGGGTGGTGTTTGATCTAGCAGCGGTCGAAAGCTGGTTGCAAAATGCAAGCAGCAATGCCAAGCAGGCTCTCAAACGTCTCATGGCTGGCGCACAACACGGTAACGCGGCACCTCACGAGACAAACACAACCGCCTCTCGATTGTTAAAAAGTTACGGAGTCGAAGCTACGCGACCGAATTCGATCACGATCGTTAATCGTAAATGATCTACACTGTTGTCGTCACCAGCAGCAACACCGTGGGGCGCGGAACGATCCGGATCGCCGATTAAAGAGGCCGGCAGGACGGTGATGGCTATGTGATGACTATCTACACAAAAAGTGGTCCTGCCATGTGAGCGACCGATGACCTCCACATTCCACGTTGCCGCTGGGATCTTGGCTGGAATCAGCTGTGACTTATGCGCTGGAAAAATCAAGGAACGGATGTTAGTAAAATGTAGAAGCATTATAGTATTCAGTTTACTGGGAGTAAATCCATCATTTGAAAAGATATCCTCCCCCACTTGCATCACGATTTGTGTGCTTCGGGTAGGTGAGGGTCGGTCGAGGTGAAGGGAATTACAAAAAATGGCAGCGATATGGCAGCGGCAGTGAGAGACAGCAGCTGCGCTTCTTTTTCAAATTCATACAAGTGTCAAAGGCGGTCAAAGGCGTCAAAGTGCTGGTAAATAACAAGGATAGATGGTAAACAAGTGGTAAGTAGGGCGGATGGCGGATTGGTAAATAATGAATACAGTTATTGATGCCTTGATTGATAGGCTGCATAGAAAGTGATTGACTTGGGCTCAGGTAGGCAATGAAAGTAAAGTCAGCACTAGCAGCTCCACTCAAAAGTCAATGTATTCAACTAGTCCCCCTGAATCTGAATCCCTGAACTTAATCTGTAAAATTAGGGCATCTCAGAATAGAATATACGCGGTTTAAGATTGGCAATTGGCATTGATTTAAGACAAACTCCAAGCCAACTACCAACTCAAACTGCCTACTCCCCAGACTGAGACTGCAAAGTGGCAGGTGTACGGCACCTCAACCTGTACGTCTGAGGTGCGTCCATTTCAATTGGAGTGCATGCCTGGCTAATGAGAATGCTTGTGTGGTTGGAAGGCATCAGTATGTTTATAGATAGCATATCTTGCACTTCTTCTTCTTACTTCTTACAGCAGTTTTTGGAACTGAAAGCTACCAAGGTAATTACTCAATTGAACATGGCCCTGATCGGCGGCCGGCTAGTACTCTTGCCGGCGCTCATATACGTGCTGGTTGCCCCGGCAACGGGCTATTGACCAATGAGAAGCGAGGAAAGTGCAACGTCACTGCGATTTTTCATATACCTGTGCCCCCCGTAGCGCGCTTCTCATTGGTCAATAGCCCGTTGCCGGGGCAACGTGCACGTATGTGTGCGCGGGCTAGCGCGCTAGCCGGCCGCCGAACAGCGCTCATTTGGGAGTTATTCTTAGAACCGCTTACCTTAGAACCAACCTTCGAACCTAAAACCCTTTGGTGGAGGCACCATTGGTGGTAAATACTGACCAAGAACAACTAGGTATAAGGTAGTGGGACACATTGACAATTGACATTGTCATTGTCCTTACCTGGGACGCCGGTGAAAACAGGGCGCCGGAGGGCATATTAGTCATGTGACATTTGGAGCTTCTCCCCCTCCGTGGGCCTTTTACATGCCAAACGTCACATGTAAATTTCACTAACCTTGCTCAAATCACCCCAGGCGCCCTGTTTTCACCGTCGTCCCTTACCTGAAACTCACCAGACCCACCCCAAATGCACAAATGCATCTTTGCCAAATAAAACTAATGCAAAAGTCAGAATTTGTACCTACCTACCTACCCCAAACTATATATGAAACATTTTCTCCAAAGAGTTTTAACAGGTCTTGCTTTCCCTGATGTTTAATTGTCATTCAGCTAACCTGGAAGGTCAACCAATGGTCTAGGCCCTTCAAATCGGGTACCATGGATTTTCTCTTGTCTTGGCCAATACCCTCATTTTTCTGCAAAGGTTTGCTTCTAATCGGATCAAACACCTGGGGGTTTGTGCCACTTGTGTAATGTGTGCACTAGGGAACTGCCACACATTTGATAAACACCCCAATGAACAGTAGTCTCTGAAGAATGCAGGGCGCTGTTCGGTCGCAGTTTTTTAGCAACAGGCTGCGAGCATGCTGCTATTTCTTGGCTCCTCATTGGTCTAATTCACGTGGTTTATTCATTTGACCAATGAGAGCCCAAGAAGCGCCAGCAATAACTTTCTTATATGGGTAAAACCGACAGCATGCTGATAAAAAACAGCGACCGAACAGAGCCCGGGAGTGGGCGTCACAAAATGACTGTGTTTCCACACATTTTGCATTCGTCTCGTTTCTGCCCTTTGAGTGGGAGCTCTCAATGTGAAGTGTGAGCACCCTGATTTGTCAGTGCACGCCTGCACGTCTAAACCGAGCTTTGCACGCCTGATATTTGGAAATCTATGCCTGAATAACCTCGCGTTCGGTGTCTCTCGGACGACGAAGATTCTACGTCGTCTGGCCAATCCTGTCCAAGGTCAGCGGGGGCTTGGCTGCGGTTATGGAGCGTGATTGGCCGGACGGCGTAGAATCTTCGTCGTCCGAGAGACATCGAACGCGGGGTAAGACTAGCAGAGGCCTCGTTCACGCCAGAGATTTTGCCGAACTCAGCCAGTTTAGCAGTCTGGCTTAATTCAGTCCAGTGCGAGGCAGGTGCTAATATTTCATGGGAATAAATGACAATGAACGGGTTTCTTATGAGAGCTGAAGGATAACAGGCTGCCCTTTCTCACCCTGTGACATTTTGATAAACGGTAACTTGCTGTGTATTTGTATTATATCGCCCAATGGTATTGTTTTATGCACGTTTTATGATGCCTCGCAACCCTGACTGATAGTGGTCCTTGGATGTGTCTGTGCCCAGGATCAGGCAGGATATCAACGTCAAAAACATGGTGCACCTGGGTCTGCAGCTTCGCGCTACATTGGAGAATGTGACTGATATACAGCCCCAGCCAGACGACGATGACTTCCGCTGGTACGTGAAGCTGCGTTGCAACCACTGCGGCGACCAACCAGACCACTTTGTCTACCTCTGCGCCACGGAGGAAGTCCCCGTCAAGGGCGGCCGAGGCCATGCCAACATGGCCGTGAAGTGCAAGCTCTGTGGCCGCGATAACCACGTGGACATCGTGCCCGGCTCTGTGAAGCCTCTGACGGAGAGCGAGAAGTTCCAGACGGTGGTCGAGTTCGACTGTCGGGGAGTGGAGCTCACCGATTTCTCGCCTCGCGTCGGTTGGACGTGCCGTGGCGCAGAGTCGGGCACCAAGTTCGCCGACGTCGACCTCTCGGAAAAGGAGTGGGTCGAGTACGACGAAAAGGCCGGTGAGTCGGTGGGTATCTATGATGTGCAGTCGCAGTTTGTCAAACTGAAGAACTAAACCTGGTACGGAGTGCTGATCCACAGGTGTTTGGGATGGGAGAAACTTACGAGGGGCTTGCTGGTTTTTGCCGGATTTGGCATTGCGAGTTAGCTTGACGCAGCTCGTAGTTAGAACTTATGCGAGCATACATCGCTAATTGGCGGGGATCGTTCCGTTGCTTCGTTTGCTGTGATGATGCTGACTTACGTATGGGCAAGTTGGTGTGAGAAAGCTCGTTTTACAGTGTTACAATTAAGGCTATATAGTAAATGATAACGTGCTCCCAAGGAGTGGTCAATGTAAATGTAACTTAAATACATTCGTAAAGAAGCAACGAATTATGGCCAGAGACTCGTCGCTACATATGACTTGCGATTATGTTGTGATTTAGCTTTCCTCAGGAGCAATCGCCTCTTATCCCCGTAACAAACTCCCAGTTTTGTACGAAAGCGATGTATTGGCATCTTGACTAGACCCCATCCGCTTTCTCCATCCCGCATAGGCTCATTTACACATGACTTCATCACTCACATCATCATCAACTCATCAGACATTCAACAGTAGAAAATACATAACAGGCTATCGATATTTCGTGCGTTCGCGTTTTCGTTCGTTTGCAAGGGTCACCAGAACCAGAGATCTTCACTCAAGGGGCTTCTACTCGTAGCAGGCGGCGCGGAGACCGACATCTCGGGTGCTCTATGCGACAGTCAATCGCAAGTCTAGCCAAAGTCTGAGCACGAATAAGCCACACCTGCGCGACATGCGTCACTGGACACAAAACGGTGTCTAGTGCTATCAAATGACCAAAAATACGATCGTTATATCTCAGCAACGGTAGGTAACGCTGTGCACAATGAGCTGTCCCAGCGTGAGCTATACATTTAGCGGCGTAGCAACCACACCTGAGTCGCACGACTCCAGCAGTATCACCTTTGGCTCGTTTGAGTCCGTTTCTCCATCGCGCATGGCGTCCAGAGCAGACTTGCCGCGCTCATCATACGCCACACAGCCTCTGACCTCTGAGCGGCAACCCCTGTACCTCCGCTCTGCCGGCTACACCTGGGTGATGTTACGCCGTTTCCGGCCCTGCACGTAGGAGAGCGCCGCGCTGCTCCTCTCCCCGTGCGTGGGCAGCATCTTCATCCCTGGCGGCAGCTCGGTGGGCGTCGTCTCACCGGGCGCCAGGTCGCCACTGGAGTGCGCGAGTCCTCCGGGCAGACCGGGCCGCAGCGGCGAGTCGCGGTCGCTGGGCCAGCCGGCGCCGGCCTCGGACAGGGCGGCGGCGTGTCGCGCCTCGCTGGAGATGGACGGGAACGAGTCGGACGGCTGTGAGCTGGCCACCGAGCGGCCGTCATAGACCATGTCCTCGCCGTACGGCGTCTGGTAGCTGTTGTAGCGCGCGCGGCCGGAGCCGGCGCGACTGGCCGACAGGCCGCCGTAGCCGCTGTCGGGCGCCGGCGGCCGGCCGTCCGGCTGTTGCAGGATGTCCGATGCCGTCCACATGACGGGCGTCTGTGAGACAGATCCGTCCGACGCCACCACTCCGGCCGGTCCCTTCTTGTCTACCTCGCTGGATATAGTCACGGGCGGCATGGAGGTTTTGTACGCGCCGCTGGCGTCTCCGTTCGCCCGCGGTCCGCCGGTCTCTCTGTCTGCCTTGCCACCCCGCCGGCCCCTCCTGCAGCAGCAGCAGGCCAGCAGCAGGACCAGCACCAGCAGCGCGGCGCCGGCCGTGCTGGCCGCCACGATCAGCAGCGACTGACCGCGCAGCAGGGCGCGCGTCGGCGCCGGCGTGGCCGTGGTGGGCGCCGGCGGCGGCGGGGTGGTCGGCGGCGGCGGCGGCACCACGAACGACACCACGTTGGACGGCGCGCCGCGGTTGCCGGCGGCGTCCCGGCCGCGCACGGCCAGGAAGAGCAGCTCGCCGTCGACGGTGTCGAGCCGGACGGTGGCCGAGCTCTGGGAGCCGGCCGGTTCCGGGCTACTCCAGCCCCGCACCAGCGAGCCGCCGCTGAAGTCGCCCCGCAGGTGGTCCCGGTCCGTGGAGTACCGGGCGTCATAGCGGAACACTGCGGAGAGATGAGCATTTGGTTATTCTTGCTACGGAGTATGATATGGAAAAAATGAGAGATGAGAGCTCAATGAAGCTGGTGATGCTCACTCAATTATACTGGGTTTTGATCTCTAAAAACAATACTGACGGGTGGCATTAAACGATTGGACCAATAGTCCTCTGCATACAGCATACAAAAGACTGTGACTTAACTGATGAAAACAACCAAGAACTGAATCAGTGAGGTAAATAGGGTGAACGTGCTACGCGCGGCCAGCGGCTAGCTCTCTAGTTTTCTCTGGCTCGCTGTTTTCTGCCCGTTCTGTCGTCACTCACCTCTGCCGTCGGACCGGTCAAAGTCGTCGCCGGGCGCGGTCCAGCGCAGGGTGACCGTCCTCTCCTCTGGGTTGACCTCCGCTCGCAGGTCTGTGATCCTACCCGGCGGGAACGGGTCGTCTCCGGACTGCGGCATGCCCGCCAGCCGCACCACGCCGGCGGCCACGGCTCGCCGCAGCTCCGGCAGGGGTGCCGTGCGCACGCCGAGCACAACTGAGCCGCAGCAGGGCACGGTCTGGTCCCGGCCGGTCACCACGCGCGCCCGAGAGCCGCCCGCCTCCACGTGGATGGTCAGCCGCCGGTCCGGGGTGCGCGGCACGGAACCGAAGTCGGTGAAGTAGCGAGAGTAGACGCCGTCTCCGCGCTGAACGTCCGGTTCTGCCGAACGGGAGCGAATGCTGTCATGGCGAGGTCTTGCTCGAATAGAAGATCTCGGTCTCCGAGGTGTAAGGTCAATGAACTAACGGAAAGGTCATATTTATAAGCACACTGTACGAAGACGAACGACAAGGTTCTGGTTGAGATCTTGATGGTGCCGGGCCCGTCTTAGCCCATGGGGTGTCGCTATCAGACGGTATGTAGATGTCGCCTCTGCGGCGTTTGTCCCTGTGACACCAAGACCAACCGGAATCGTTTGGGAAGCTGTACTCAATCGCCTTTTCTCACATCTGCTAGACCCGAATAGGGTCTAAATCAGTGGGTCAGTCAGACCTACCTCCAAGTCCGTTGTCGAGCAGTTTGACTCGGACCCGCTGTCCGTCCGGCCGCGCCACCACCGCGTGAACCTCGGCGTTCAGAATGGCCGCGTCGCCCTTCATCAGCTGCCGGCATAGGGGTTAATTAATAATAAAAAGTATTCGTTAGACATATTGATCCATCCTGCTCATGGATGCGGAGCATTTAATCCCAATTGTGACTGTATCAGTTACTCTAGTTTGTTCTCTTTCTGCTCTATTTAATTACGATTGCGTCTCGTTGGTGCATCAAATCGCACTTTACGGTCATTTGTATCTCCCTGTCACCCCGCCCATCACTGGACCACCCGGCAGCTCACCGACGCGTATATGATGAGCGGCGTGCGTGTAGCGTTCAGCACGTCCCCCGTGGCGGCGGCGTTGGTCCAGGCCTCCAGTCGGAGCTCGTCATTCGGGCTCGGTGCTGGGTCGGCGTTCACCTGCACAACCACAGTGCCGCCGGCGGGTGCGGCGCTGTCCACCTCGTACGTCCAGAGACCGGGCTGTGGGCGGTGGGGGGCGCCGTGTCAGGGTGGCTGATGCCTGATGGCATGGTGACAGGCTGATACAGCGGGGACTTACGAGGGGCAAGAGTCTGCTATTGGTGCTGGGTTATTCAGTTCAGCTGCGAGAGTGGGAGACTTATGGCTGAAACTGCTCGAAGATGGGATACATTTCCAGGGGCCTCAACAAGATGGTGTGTCTCATAGATAAGATTTGGTTTATGTTTTGTCTGTTTTGTTTTCTTCCCTCGGAATCGCCTGTGGAAATGACTTTCTGGTGAGTTGTGTTGTGACGTCCAATGCCAATGATACGTCACTGAAGCGTTTTGGCGAAAAGCTTCGTCCAACTCTGCGTGGGGGAAGGTAGTGAAAGGATTTCTAGTTTCCTTGAAACAGACGCATTCCACGCACGAGATAAACCACATTTTCCGCTCTCGGCGATAGTATTGAATTGCGTTTGCTCTATATGACTACCTCTCCTCTCTGAGTGAGGAAAGCGATAAGCTCTCCGAAAAATCATCAGCATCACGGAATGCCGCAGGTACTTTTCCTCAAAGCTCCAGTGATCTACCGCGCACTAGCAAATCAATCGACCACCTGCTACGAAAATAGCGTGCCCGCTAGTGTCCAGCGCACGTGCACGAGGTACAACAACAATCCGGCATTCCGTCGTCGGCTACTAACCTCGTGTTCCACTCGGGCATACTGCAGGTGGTTCGTCGTATCCGTGTAGGTATACACGGGCTCCATCTCTCCCCCTGGCCTCTGCAGTCGGACGTAGCCGATGTCGGTCTTCTGGCTGTACATCACCGCCAGCGTGGTGTTGCCCCCGACGGTGTCATCCAGCAGGAAGCTGCCTCGCACCTGCGGCCCGCCGCCGACAAACTCCTTGTCCTCGACTCGCACGGGCAGCCGGCGGCGCCGCGAGAGTCTGCGCAGTGCCAGCCGGTACGCCTCGCTCAGCTCGTGGAAGACGCCGATGCCGGTCAGCGCGCCGGCAGCCACGTCCGAGACGGAGAGCACGGCGCCGCCGGTGGCACGGGCCACCCGAGCCAGGCCGCGTGTCGGGTGAGGGTAGAACACCACCACCAGACGAGTCTGCCGGGGAGGAAACGGAGAACAGTCAGCGGCTGTGTGATGTCATTCAACATGGGAAATGGACGTTTCACGGTCTCGACGAATCCTGGCAAACATATTTTACTTGGGGACAAGTGACATATCGTCTATGTAGATCGTGACATTTTCTACACAATATAGCGTATTAAGATGTAAATGTTTCTGGTATTGTGTAGCTACCGACTGACCTGTTTCTCGGTGAGTATCCGGATCATGTAGTGCACGTCCTCCCTGGAGGGCGCCACGCTGCTGTCGTTGCCGTTGCCGGTCACCCAGAAGAGGATGGCTCCGGCCGCCTCCTCGCCGAGCGCCGTGAGCGCCCCGTCCACCGCCTGGCGCCAGCTCTTCTGTTCCTCCGGGACGTCATCGGCGACGGGTGGCAGGTTCACCAGCTCGCCGCGGCCCATCAGCGACTCGGGCACCGCCGTCACCGGCCGGTCCGTGCGGTACGAGCCGCCAAAGTGGCCGATGCCCACCCGGGCGCCGGCAGGAGCGTCCCAGTTGACGAACTTGCGCACCGAGCTGCTGACCAGGTCCCAGCGGTGGCGGACGCGCATTGTTGCAGAGCTCTCCAGCAGGAAGAAGAGCCGGTCGGGGGCGGCGCGGGCGGTGCGCACGGTGACCGGCGGAGCGGCTGGTCGGTGGCTCGGTGGGTTGGAACCCAGGCGGAAGTCCTCGTGCTGCTCCATCACCTCCCAGACGGAGCGCTCGCCGCAGAGCAGGTTGTGTCGGGTGGGCGCCGCCCGGTCGTGGGTACTGGAGTTGCAGAGATGGCCCGGCTGCAGGACGGAAGAGGAACGGTCAGACTCTGAGAAATGGGGGTCACAGTAATGAGACAGGTCGGCGATGATTGCCGCATCGGTTCTGCTAACGAATTATGACGGATGTTCGTGACACTGCAGGATTCGCCGAAACTCCGCCGAATGATGGGGGATCTTTGTGTCGTTGGCGAGGTCCGGGAGAAGCTGCAGCCGACAGCGTTGTGTTCGTGGTATCAACGATACAGGTGCATTGTTCTGTTCGTGACAAGTCTCAGCAAACATTCATATCCGAAAAGAATGTTGGATTAAATGCAACAAGCTGCTGCTTGCAATTAAAGGGCAATTGGCAGTGCGGAAATTGCATTATCAACAAACACTATATTCGCTTTTGAATAATGGCCAATTAACCATCGTCCCCGTGACACTGGCCGGGTGTTTTCTCCTTCGGTCCGAAACGCCGAAATGAGATCATGCACGCTCTCCGATCGGCTGGCCTTGGCTCTGCAAAAGCCAACTGGTGCTGGACGCTAGTGGCTACAGATTGCAGGGGCGCGGGAACTACTTTCCGACTGGGGGGGCACACCATAATAGAGATTAACCTAGGGTACCCCCAAATCTAGTTTTCTCACCGGTTTTAGGCCACTTATTTTTCACCCCTCGGCCTTTTCAACAAAAAAAGAAAACATTTGCAAAAAAAGTGTGGTATTCCGTCTCAAAGCTGTGGGGGCACCGCCCCCACGGCCCCAGAGTTGGGGGGGCAAGCTGCCCCCACTGCCCCCCCGGCTCCCGCGCCTATGACAGATTGGGCAGTAAAATCATGCCGCGGGAGAGCAGAAGAGGAAATGTTGCGCCGCGGATAACTGCCCCTGCGCCAATTTTCCTGCTCTCGGCACCGGCCGTTCCCAGAAGGCGCTGAGTGATTTCTGCCGGCGACACACGGAGCCGATCCCAGGGACACGACGGCGGCCCGCAGCGCCCGGCGGCGTGCGCGTACGCTCCATTGTTCCACCAGCATTTTACCTCAGAGCCGATCAATATCGGCAGGTGGCCTGAGTGTGACATTTTACGCCCGTTCTTGTGAAATAAACATGACTTCCTGGCTCCCCGTCAAGTGACTTATACTGGAAGCAAATCCGAACGCGTGATAACGATAGTAGGTGTGTCCGTTTGTTCAAAGATCGGAACCGAACTAATGTCGTAATTTGCCTGTCCTATTATGCCTATTATTGGAGCCTTATAGGGTGTCAAATATCGGCTAGATAGATTATGCTATATGTCAGTATCGCAGAGGTGCAAATCATATGTGCTATAGCGGCTCTGGTCTGTTCGAGTTGGCCTTGATTTCTTATGCATTGCTTTGTAGTACGCTCTTGATGGCAATCTGAGCGGCGGACATACCTGTAGCAGAGCTGCGAGCGATAAGCATGCAGAATAAATGACCGCAAATAACCCGTTATTGGCATGTACGCATCATTATTCACCGTTTGCCTCACCGGCCGGCCGGCGGCGCCCAACTCAGACCGTCGCGCGCCCGGAGGAGGTCCCCGGCCATCAGCCCAACCTCGACAAAGACGCGCCGTCACCGCCGAGCCGCACGCACCGCGGTGCATGTGGATCACTGTGCGTCCCCGACCACTCTGATGTGATGTAATGAGGTGCGATTTGCTGCGATGTGATGTAAAATCGGACATTTTTGTTGGTCGCTTATGTTACGTCGTGTGTCGTGCGTTAGAATAAAAGCGTAAATTGTTATTCAAGCGTAACGTTTCACGTGTTTCATTTTTCAAACTATCGGCGAAGCCTGTCAGGGTAGCGTCCATAACGGCCGGCGTGCCTGCACGTAAAGTGTTCGTGCCCGGCTCGTGATGTGACCGTGCGACGCTGACATCACGGAGCGGTGACGGGTTCGTGACATACCTGTCCGGGCGGCAGCAGCGACAGCAGCGACGTGCCGTCGGTGACGTTAGCGGCCTCCTCGGTCGGCACGAACGTGCAGGTGTTGGAGCCGCGGTCGCACCCGGGCCTGTAACGTGACGGGCCGAGGGTCAGTCGGGCTGGGAACACGGGGATGGGTCGCTCTGTGAAGGGATGCTCATAGCCCAGTGATAGGCGTGTCCTCAATGGAAACCCATGGGTGGTCGCGTCAGCAAATGAACCCGACCAGGTGATGATTGTGGTCGAGTTCAGATGAAGACAAAAGGGAGGTGGTTTGGTTCGGCTGCTTGTCGGAGATGACGCAGCGTCCGGGGTCTTGCAGCGGGCGCCCGTGCGAGGGCCGTGTCTGAGCCCCCGCGAGCAGGTGCTCGACATATGATCCGAGCGGCCGGGGCTCGGCCGACGCCCCGTCAGCGCAGGCTCAGCGCTGCTGGTCGGCCGGCGCCGCGCTGGTCGCAGAGTCAGCAGTCATGGCCGGGCCGAGCGGCGGGGCCGTGTGGGCCACCAATAATCATGATTAATCGCGGTGTACTGCGCAGCCGACATGAGCGGCGGCTGTGCGCGCGGTCGGCGTTCCGAGACGCCAGCCTTCGCGGGATGGCGAGCATTGTTCTCGTCTTAGTGGGCTGGAACTCGTTACCTTGCCTCATTTAATACTTACAAATGATATAATATTCCGGTTCTTACTTTGATTGATATCACTCATCAAAGAGATCATAATTACAAGAACACAGCACTAGATAAAGACAGCATACTATATGCTATCGCTAGGTAATCCCACAAGAGTGGGGTGGGTCTCCTTTTTCATCAAAACGATATCACCATGTCTATCTGAGCCCGGGTATGCACAAGATCAGTCAGATGACGGAAAAGTGACGATGGCTACACAGACAACAGCACAGTGCTCTCTGGAGATCGTGTGGAACAGGCTATGGACTGCCACAGGTCAGGTGGTACTCACGGAGTCACAGTGCCGCGGACGGAGCCTGTGGGCCTGTGGAGCAGACTGTGGGCTGCCACAGTTCAGGTCTATGGGTAGGTACTCACGGAGTCACAGTGCCGCGGACGGAGCCTGTGGAGCAGACTGTGGGCTGCCACAGGTCTCCCGTCTGCCGATGGTAGGACGGGTACAGAGGGTCGCCGGCGAACCCAGTCTCCTCGAACACACCCCAGCGGTAGCGGGCCCACTGCTGCACCACTCGAACCGCTGTGGACGGGAGGAGCACAAAACGAGACGTCAGCGGGAGCAGCAGACTCGTAGTAGAGAGGGGAACATCTCTGCAAGATTAAGCCTAATGAAGCGGTCCGAACTTCTAAGCGTTGAAATGAGAAATCGTAGCTCACTGCTCGGTTACGGCCTGCGGGCTTCAGAAGTACTGCGGGCTTCAGAAGTAGGCGTTTTCTATAAAGGCCGGCCATTAGCAGTCAATGCCACCACACTTATGAGCATTTATATCGAATTAAATTTATCATAATTCATAAGTAGCATTGCCATTTACCTCTGTCGGTGACAGTTTCGTCCTCCGATGTGACAAAGGCGGCGTCCATTTGTACGAAGGCGCCCGGCTGACCACACTGTCCCGTCTGGTGGGTCCACGGCTCAGAGCCGTGCGCCGGGTGTGCCAGGCTGACCCGCAGGTCAGAGGTCAAGTAGCTCTCGGTCGGGGTCACTCGAGGACGGTCCCCTTCAGCGCAGCTGTCCGGCCACGAGTCGGGCAGCACCAGGGTGACGTCACCGAACGCGGCCCGCTGATTGGTCGCCGCGTACAGCTGGGCTGAGGCTTCAGTCATCAACGCCTGGACAGAAAGATAACACACGGTTACCGTCTTGTTCGGGTGTTGAATTCGGACGGAACGAGATGGGAGCTAACAAGACTAGGGGAATGGGCAACTGCACACACACAGCATGTAGTGAGATCAGATCATCCATGGTGATATAGGCATGCCGCATGGGGGCAATTGTCAACTGATTACGGAGCGAGCGAAGCGAGCGTAGTCTTTCCTTAGATTAACGGAAATTTCTGAGTATGAGCGGCCGGCCGGCCGGCCGGCCGGCCGTGGTCACGCTTTTGCGAGGCTTATATCTCAGCAACCACTTGACCGATTTACACGCGGTAATTTTTGTAGGGTAGCTTCATTCCTTCTACCAAGTATTGGACTATTCCCGATGCATGTGGGTGACCCCTTATGCACGTGCCACGTGCAAAACGAAGAGGTGTCACTTTTGTAATTGTTGCAATATCTCGGTAACTACTTGGCCGATTGCGCTGAAAGTTGGCATGTAGGTAGGCAGTAGGCACCCACTAGGCACTGCATATACATGTGCCAGAGTTGGGGTGCTGCTGCACGTGCGCACGTGCAGGGGTCGTTTCCAGATCTCGGGAACGGCTGGACCGATTGCGCTCAAATTTGGTACACGGTTAGGGACCGGTTAGTAGCGTGCCGTGCACAAGTCAGTTGGGACCCATTTTGCACGTGCGCACGTGCAGGGTGCCGCTTCCAGATCTCGAGAACGGCTGGGCCGATTGTGCCCAAATTTGGCACATCGCTAGAGACCAGTTAGTAGGGTGCCGTGCACAAGTCAGTTGGAGGTACCCCCTCGCAATTTCGCACGTGCCGGTGCAAGGCCCACCCTCTCGCTCGCTCCGTTAGTCGCCCCAAAAGGCGTTATACTGGTTTATTTGAGTCCAATTGGGACTGCCTCAAGATCGAACATTGAAGCGTTCTCGCGGTGTTGTGTCAATCACCAGTGGTGATAGGTACTATTTTTTTTGTCGTTTCTCCGTCACTTCTGATCGTCTGAGATTTCGAGTGAGTGCGCATAAATATTGAAGCATTTTAGGCCAATACCTAACGCTGGTCGGTGGTCGCTACACCGCGGTGCAGAAACGTGCACAATACATAGTTCCAGGCCCCGCTATGCGCTAATTCCCTTTTACAGGGGTACTATTTCTGCAATCGAGTTCAGCTCTCTCATTTGCGCAAACGTTTATCAGTCGTTCAAACAGTTCCCAAGAGTTCGATCACTCTCATTTCCAAATGTGCTCATATATTCACATGTACAGAGTTCGGTCCTAAAAACGCCCAACCATGCCACTAGCCAGTTCTCGGCCTCGCCCGCTCCATTCCCGTTCCGGCCGGTCATTTACTATCAGTCGTATACCCAAATGAACGGTGAAAGGCCGGCGATCAATAACTACCTCCAGCTGGGGTGATGTATGCCGATCGCGCTCCCTGCGGTCGTCGTCTGATGAGCGTGGGAGTCCCCACCCGCCGCCGGCCGCCGTCTGTCCGATTCATCAGCGGTCGCCGACGATCGGTGATCAGAGTGACGGCCGCAGCGGCTCGTCTCAGCTCGTCAGGAGGCGTCACAATCGCCGCCCGAATCGCCAGAGATAGTGGCCCGAACAGTGACAGTGCACACCCAGCGGCCGGGCGCCGCTAATTGCGACGGCGCGCGGTGTGTATCATGGGCCCGCGCCTGGAACCGGTTCCAGCTGATAATACGTCATCAATCGGAGGTAGCCGCGGTCGCGCTCAATCACAGACCGCAATTGATTTAACAGCGTTTTTCATGTTCGGCCTGTCGCGGCAGAGGAGATTCGATGCGGGTGGCTCCGCTGTCTCTCGCTGTATCGGCCGGTGAGACTCGCGCGGGGCGCCACGGTGCGCAGTGCACTGCATGGCGAAACAGCGTGAGACCAACCTGTCCCAGAACTGGTGAGAGCGAGACTCCCACCATCGCGCCGGATGGCGGTGTGCGAACTGCATGAAGACGAATAAAAGAATGGTTATTTATGAGGAAGAACATCGCCCTGACCTAGTGCAGTGAGCAGTGCACTGCAAAGGCCCGGTTTAGTATTTTTCACCCTTACCATTTTAGCTCCATTGCAATTACCGACCATTTCCAAGTTGCTGGGTCCTGAGATATGGATAAACGGCAAAATCGTGCTTTGGGGAAATATATGTCGGTCCCTAGACAATACCTATTCATGCTCTGCTCTGTAAGCATGAGCCTCATGACATATTCGCAATTTGTATTAAATTGCAATGATCCTTTAAATGCAGTTTATTCATGACGGAAATTATCATACCAAACCAACCCAAAGTAATGTCTGTAACAGCTAGCAATAGTTACGTTGGTTTATGAACAAACATCGGTGGACACCGCTGCATTCGCTAGCTCCGGCTCACCGAATTTATACCCTTTTAATACGCCCCTGTTACAACGTCTAACTCATACTAACCACTATGTCTTCTACTGGCAATATCAAACCAGAACGGATACCCTGCGGGGCGAAGGCGGATAGAAAACGCTCCATAAACAGCAATCACGGCACATCTTGAGCCACATTGCACCAGGCTACATCCGCCGTGCGCCGCGGAGTGCCGGCCTCGCTCGGTGGTATTGTCGGGAAAGTGAGACCGAAAACGGTCCGCAAACAGCCGCTCGAACCACCGGCGCGCACAGAGGTCACGTCGCCGCGGGCTGAGCGCGTGACCTCGTGTGACACCGCCGGCGGTCGGCACGTGCGGCCCAGTTACCACCAGCGTCCGTCGGTGGCAGACGCGCTGGGAGAGACAGCGAGGTGAAGGGCGCGAGCAGTAGACGGTATCAAGGACTGAGAAATACTAAACCGTTTCTGGAGAGGCTGAATCAATTATGTTTGACTTTTGTTTCAAGCCTGGGACAAGCGGATGCACAAGTTTTCACCGAGTATAGGGTATGTGTAATTACAAGTGGGTTTTAGTTCCTCTAGTTATGTTTTTGAAACCCTAGCTAGAGTTCTGCACGGCTGCAATTTTCCACAGCCTAGCCGCCCCGCAGCCGTGGCTCCACAGCCACAGCCGCCCACAGCCGTGGCAAACTGTGGGCAGCCAGCCGTCAGCCGGCCGTGGATACTTTCAATGAAATGCAACCAAATAGTATATAATAGGTTGTTTTTAGTTGAAACATATAGCCAAAAGCACATTGCAATGGGCTATAGATTCTCAAGCTCATGAAGCATCATAGGTTAAGTGGTTGTGTATCTGGCTTTAGGCCGAAGGCCTGAAGCCTGATGCGCAACGCATGCCTACACAAGCCCTTGCAAGGGGTTAAGAAAGATGGGTAGGTACCTACATCAACAGAAAACATAAACAACGAACCAGAATAGAAGCACTAGCAGTGTGGACATCTAATGCCAAATCCTGAAGCATGGTTGTAGGACAGAACAACAGACCCTGATGCTTTTCATTATCAATGTTAGGTATGGAAAATGAAACTCAAGTTGATGGACTGTCAAACAGTGATTGTCTCAAGGCTATAGAACTCCGATTGTCTAGTAAAAACTCTTGCTTCTTTCTTACCTTGCATATTTTCTGGGGTGTGATATGCCAGACTTGAAGCAGCCTTCTGGGCAAGTCTCAAACTAATTTGATATGCAAGGCATCAAAACACTAGTGAGCATCCAAGAAAGAAAAACATTCTTCTATTTTGATTTTCCAAATAATGATCTTCGCTCAAATCCCCAAGGACGTGCGACAATTACCTCTTTTAATCAAAAATTTTACTTGAGTTTTTAATGACGTCAATAGCAAAGAAGTGGCAATAAATTGTTTTGTTTCACTATAAACAGCCATAAAAATTAAAATTAAGAAATAATAATGCTATACAGTCAAAAAATTGCTCTCAAATAAAGAGTAAGTATCAAATTTTTACATTTTCAGAAGAAGGCGTCATTTTATTAGTAAAGTCAACAGCTCGCGTAAGAAATATTGTGTTCAGGGTTTTCACCGTCATGTGAATTTTGTGTTCAGGGTTTTCACCATCATGTGAATTAACCGTAAGTAAGGTTCATGTTCACTATAATATAATTCCATTGGCTTCGTTGATCAGCATTTTCTGTTAGCGGTCACTCACACACCAGTTAGAACATAAAGCGCCAGTTTTATATTATGTAATTGGACTTGCCGAAAATCCAGAAATACATCTAAGAGTTATTTTAGATAATATTTTATGAAGCCTTTACCTGCCTTTACCTAGGCGTGATTTCTTTTTCTATTACCTGAAAGAATTATTTAACGCTCGTCTTCAATAGCTGTAAGGTGCTCTCCTAATGACCAGGTGAGATTGATTTGAGAGGGATGTGACAATGCAACATGCTGCATTTTCTGAAACTGTCAAGCTCTTGATGATGAAGGAACAATTGGTACCTATAATTAGTATTCTGTACCAGAGTGCAAACTCCCCTACAACAAATGGTAAAACCATTACAGGTTTTCAAAGGCTTTACCACTTTCAATGTTGCTGGGCATCCTTTGCATGATTTTTACAGGCTAGACTGCTTATCAGAATGTGAGATTAAGGATTTAAAATTTTATATTTGAGTACTTAAGATTGAGCTTGAAATCTCACAGCCGTGGCCACAGCCGTAGCCGTGTTCTTGGAGATATTTGCAGCCGCCCCGGCCCACAGCCGTGGGGCTGCAGCCAGCCGCGGCTGCAGCCGGCCGGTGCAGACCTCTAACCCTAGCTCCTTTACAATCAGCGGCCCCTTTAACGGATGGCACTCGCCGCCGCTGCCGGACGACCGGTGGCAGCGGCGACCGTGACGCGTCACGGTGCTTCCAGTCACGACGTGGCGACGGCGAGAGAGCGCCGCGAATGCCGCACCGGCGCCGGGTAAAAAGCGGCGCGCGCCGGTCACGTCCTGCGGCGGAAACGCCGCACGGACCGCTGACGTGACGGAGCGGCACCAGGTCACGTGACACGTCGTGACGGCCGTCGTGACGTGACCATTGGTGTCAACTGGGCGC